GTCTTTGAGGCGTCTTGGGCCCGTCTTGGGGTTTCTTGGGGCGGTCTTGGGGGCCTCTTGGGCCTTTCTGGGGCCATCTTGGAGGCCTCTTGGGCGATCTCGGCGCGATCATTGGGGGCTCTTGGGTTGTCTCGGGCCGTCGGAAGGCCTAAAAGAGGCAAATGTCACAATCCTTCAAAAATCCAAAGAACATCAACGATGTTGGCCTCTTCGGGCCTTCCTGGAGGCCCTCTTGGAGGCCTCTTGGGCCGTCTTGGAGGCCTCTTAGGAGCCTCTAGGGCCGTCTCGGGCCATCTTGAGGCTATCTTAGACCGTCTTGCGTGCATTTGGGGTCGTCTTGGAGGCATTTGGGGGCCATATTTGCCGTCTTGGAGGCCATCTTGGCCGTCTCGGAGGCATCTTGAAGGCCATCTTGGGCCATCTTGGCCGTCACCCGGGCATTTTGAGCACCCTTCCGGGCGGCCAGCGGGACGGGCCGAAGCCACATGGGAGAGTTCTTCAGGAGAAAGAACCAACACAAAAAACGGTAGCGTCTAGCACGCCGGCCACCCCTGTGACAAGCACAGGGGGCGGCGAGGGCGGGTCTCATGGCCTTCGGCTCATCCCGCCACCGTGCCTGGGTGGTGGATCTGACGCTTTGTGGACATTCGTTGGGATGTCGTGCGAGGCCTCTCGGGGGCCTCTTGGAGGCAGTTTTGAATCATCTGGGGTGCCGTTTTGGTGCCTTGGGGGCCTCTTGGGGCCTCTTGGGGGCCTCTTGGGGCCTCTTGGGGGCCTCTTGAAGCATCTTGTGGCTCTATTGGGGCGGAAGGTTTGAATTTTCGGTCCGTGGTCTCCCTCTTGCGCCCCTCTTGTGGCTATGTTGGGGCCCTCTTGGGCCGTTTTGGGCGTCTGTTGGGACGTCTTGGGGCCCTCTTCGGCCATCTTGGGGGCCTCCTGGGGGCCTCTTGGGGTATCTGGTGGCATTATTTTGGGCCTCTTGGGCCGTCTTGGATCGTCGGAAAGAAGGCGAGAAGGCCAGAAACCTTCAAACACCTACAGGAAATCAATCATTTTGGCCTCTTGGGGCCCTCTTGGGAGGCCTCTTCGGGCTCACTTGGGCCGTCTCGAAGCCATCTTGGCCGAACCTTCTGCGACTTGGGGCCCTCTTGGGCAGTCTGGCAGGCCTCTTGCGGCCCTCTTGGGCCTTTCGGCTACGAAGAAGTCACGAAGGGAGCCGCGCCACGGCCCAGGGGGCAAGCGGCAAGCCCAAGGAGGTTTTGCAATTTTGGGCGCGGCCCCCTTTAGAAACATCAAGAGCGAAAGTCGAGGCTTAGAGGACCTGAGGACATGCCCATTCCGTGCCGAAGGGCTCGGTGGCAGATAGACGCGTGTGTATGTATGTGTATGTGAATATATAAACGCCTCCGACTAATATGTACACATGCGTCTCTATATAGATATGTATAGATATGTGTATATATATATACACTGGTTACGGGACGCCGTAGAAATAAGGTGCGGAATGCGTGCGTATGGCGATGACGGTCCCACGTCTTCAGAGTGAAATGGCTGGCTGCGATTGGACACGCTACGGAAAGAGGAAATCCCATATGCTTGAACGCGCCGACTTCACGGCGGGAGGGGCCGCATCTTTAGTGGTTTGAAGTTGTGAACCGCCATCGTTCCCTCCCACCCCTCCCCCTTCCCTCCCCCTTTCTCTCCTCGTCCTCCTCCTCCTCCTCATCATCATCATCATCATCAGCAGCATCATCATCATCATCGTCATCATCATCATCATCATCATCATCATCATCATCATCATCATCATCCGCATCCTCATCCTCATCCTCATCCGCATCCTCATCCTCGTCCTCGTCCTCGTCCTCCTCTTCCTCCTCCCCCTCCTCCTCCCCCTCCTCCTCCTCCTCCTCCTCCTTTTCCTCCTCCTCCTCCTCCTCCTCTTCCTCTTCCTAGTCCTCCTCCTTTTCCTCCTCCCCCTCCTCCTCCTCCTCCTCCTCCTCCTTCTCCTCCTCCTCCTCCTTCCTCCTCCTCCTCTTCTCCTAGTCCTCCTCCTCCCCTCCTCCCTCCCCCTCTTCCTCCTCCTCCTCTTTCTCCTCGTCTCGGTCCTCTTCTTCCTTCCTCGTCCTTCTCCTCCTCTTTTCTTCCCTCCTCCTCTTCCTCCTCGTCCTCTCCTCCTCTTTTCCTTCCCACTTTCTCCTTGCCCAAGCCTCTCCCCTCTCTCTTCCTCCTCTTCCCGCCTCCTCGTCCTCGTCCCCCTCCTCGCCCCGATCGTCGTCCTCCTGGCCCTCCACCTCCTCCTCCTCCTCCTGCTCCTGCTCCTCCTCCATTCCTTATATCTATATATATATATATATATATATATATATTGAAAAAAAAAAACTCTTCCCTGTCGCACCCCGAGGCCAGTCGGAAGGTCGGGCCGGGCGTTTCGCCTGAGACTTCTTTACAACCTGTGTTCCTGTGTTCCTGAAGCGTAAGTTTTAGCAACAGCTTCACA